CAAATTGCTTATCTCTGCTTACCCTAAGCAGAAAATTCTCATCTTCGAACTCCATCAAGGCATTCACCTAATTGACACCTAGGCCAAGTGTGAACTTTCTAACTAAATTAGAATGAGAGTTATTGTGTTCCAAAGTCTCGACCAATCAAATTGCTTATCACTCTGCTTACCCTGAGCAGAAAATGTTTATTATCGAACTTAGCCAAGGTTTTGATGTAATGAAAATATACACCAAGTTTCATCACTCTCACTTGATTAGAACTAAAGTTATCGTGTCCCAAAGCATCAACCAATCAAATTGCTTATCTATGCTTACCCTAAGCAGAAAATGCTCATCTTCAAACTCCATCAAGGCACTGACCTGATAAACACCTGCACCAAGTTTGAACATTCTAGCTCAATTAGAAAGAGAGTTATTGTGTTCCAAAAAGTGTTACGGACAGACAGACAGACAATCAAATTGCTTATCGCTCTGCTTACCCTGAGCAGAAAATGCTCATTATCGAACTTAGTCAAGGTATTGATGTAATGAAACTATACACCAAGTTTCATCACTCTCACTTAATTAGAACTAAAGTTATCATGTCCCAAAGCATCAACCAATCAAATTGCTTATCTCTGTTACCCTAAGCAGAAAATGCTCATCTTCGAACTCCATCAAGGCATTGACCTAATAAACACCTATACCAAGTTTGAACATTCTAGCTCAAATAGAAAGAGAGTTATTGTGTCCCAAACAGTGTGACGAACGGACGGACCGACTGACGAACACATTTTAATAGTCTGCTGCTTTCTTCGAAATATCAAAAGGGACTGAGATCTTTGGCATGTTTTAAGTTTCATCAAAATCAGATAAAAATGGTGACCTGTAGAGGGTCCACAACCTTTGTATTACACACTTCTACACAATTTGTGTACAAAGAGCAGCCATTTTGTCGGGCAGTTTCATTTCGATTATCCCGAAATACGAATTCAGGCAGTTTTGGCCTGATTTTCACGGAATTTGAAGTCAACAAACATAACGGTGTAACGGTGATATATTCAAACGTTTTTTACATCAGATAATAATTGTGACCTCTAGAGGGTCCACAAGCTAAAAACATGATTTTACGTACAATCAGAGGCCATAATTCAGGAAGTTACGATCCGATGTGCGCAAATATCAAAAGGAACCAATATCTTTGGGTTATAAACATGTAATTTAAGTTTCATTGAAATCGGATCAAAATTGTGACCTCTAGAGGGTTCACAACCTTGATTTACCAGATGTTTACACTATTTGCGTACGAGGGGTGGCCATTTTGTCCGGCAGTTTTGGTCCAATTTTCATGAAATTCAAACTCAGACAAAATTAGGGTGTAACAGTGATATATTCCAACGCTTTTTTTAAATCGGACAATAATTGTGACCTCTAGAGGGATCACAAGCAAAAAACGCGATTTTTCGTACAATCAGGGGCCATAATTCAGGAAGTTACTATTTGATATGTACGAAAATAGAAAGGAACCAAGATAATTGGGTTATAAACATGCATTTTAAGTTTCATCAAAATCAGATAAAAATTGTGACCTCCAGAGGGGCGGCCATTTTGTCCGTCAGTTTCATTCCAATTTTTACGGAATTCGAACTCAACCATCCTAAGGGTTTAACGGTGATATATTAAAACATTTTTTTAAATCGGATAAAAATTGTGACCTCTATGGGGTCCACACGCTAACCAGCGGCTGCCAGGCAGGATACGGCCACATTTTTGAGAGATGGATAGAGAACAAGCTAAAAAGAAAGTGATTTTTCCTACAATCAAGGGCTATAATTTAGGAAATTACAATTCGATATGCGCAAATATCGAAAGGAACCGAGATCTTTGTGTTATAAACTTATATTTCAAGTTTCAACAAAATCGGATAAAAATTGTGACCTCAACCTTGATATACCATATTTTTACACTATTTGGGAACGAACAGCGGCCATTTTGTCTGTAAATTTTGGGCCGGTTTACAAAAAATTCGAACTCAGCCATCCTTATGGTGCAACGGTGATATAATAATACGTTTTTTTAAATCGGATAAAAATTATGACCTCTATAGGTTCCACAAGCTAAAAACGTGATTTTTCGTACAATCAGGGGCCATAATTCAGGAAGTTACGGTCCGATATGTGCGAATATCGAAAGGAACCGAGATCTTTGGGTTATAAACTTACATTCCATGTTTCAACAAAATCGGAAAAAAATTGTGACCTCTATAGGGTCTACAACCTTGATATACCATATTTTTATGCTATTTGAGAATGAACGGCGGCCATTTTGTCTGTCAATTTTGGGTGCCGATTTTCACGAAATTCGAACTCTGCAGTCCTTAGGGTGTAACGGTGACATAATAATACGGTTTTTAAAATCGGATAAAAATTATGACCTCTATAGGGTCCACAAGCTAAAAACGCGATTTTTTGTACATTCAGGGGCCATAATTCAGGAAGTTACCGTCCGATATGCGCGAATATCGAAAGGAACCAAGCTCTTTGGGTTATAAACTTACATTTCAAGTTTCAACAAAATCGGATTAAAATTGTGACCTCCATAGGGTCCACAACCTTGATATACCATATTTTTACGCTATTTGAGAACAAAGGGCGGCCATTTTGTCTGTCAGTTTTCGGCTGATTTTTTTACGAAATTCAAACTCAGCCGTCCTTAGGGTGTAACGGTGATAAAATGATATGTTTTTTTTAAATCGGATAAAAATTATGACCTCTATAGGGTCCACAAGCTAAAAACGTGATTTTTCGTACAATCAAAGGCCTTGATTCAGGAAGTTACAGTCCGATATGCGCGAATATCGAAAGGAACCGAGATCTTTGGGTTATAAACTTACATTTCAAGTTTCAACAAAATTGGATAAAAATTGTGACCTCTATAGGGTCCACAACCTTGATATACCCTATTTTTAAGCTATTTGAGAATGAACGGCGGCCATTTTGTCCGCCAATTTTTGGCCGATTTTCACGAAATTCGAACTCAGTCGTCCATAGTGTGTAACGGTGATATAATAATACGTTTTTTTAAATCGGATAAAAATTATGACCTCTATAGGGTCCACAAGCTAAAACCGCGATTTTTCGTACAATCAGGGGCCATAAATCAGGAAGTTACGTTCAGATATGCGCGAATATCGGAAGGAACCAAGATCTTTGGGTTATAAACTTACATTTCAAGTTTCAACAAAATCAGATAAAAATTGTGACCTCTACAGTGTTCACAAGCTAAAAACGTCATTTTTCGTACAATCAGGGGCCATAATCCATAAAGTTACAGTCCGATACATGCCAATATCAAAAGGAACTGAGATCTTAGGGTGATAAACCTATATTTCAAGTTTCATTGAAATCGGATAAAAATTGTGACCTGTAGACTGTTCACAAACAATTGTGGACGGATGGACAGGGGCGACGACAATATACATCCACATGCGTATAAAAAGGTAATTTTTGTACAATAAGGGATCATAATCCAGGATGTTACTGTCCGACATGCGTCAATATCGAAAGGAACCAAGATCTTTGGGATATATTGGAATATAAACATATATTTTAAAGCTACGTTCCCAGAAAAGTATTTATCGGGTGGTTATTTTCAATAAAAGTATGGCAATGTTGTTATATATGGAAAGTAGAAATATCCAATCTTACTATAAAAATACTGGATTCCTTGAAAAACACTCATGGCGTGCATACAGGACAAAAATGTAAGGATTTCCCTAATAGACAGCCCGACAATTAGGAGTGTCAAAGGTTGCACGCGGAGATTGAGCGCTTGATGTACATTTTGATAAACTTTATGAAGAATTAGACGTAAAACACTTTCTGAGATAAAAACCACGGAAAAAGATGTGGGCAGTGGATAATCTGAAAATTTAATTAGGCTTCGATATTTGTAATAAATAGTCAGCGATTAAAGACAACATCGTCTTGCATATGCAATGAATTCTCCGCCAACTTCGCTTGAATTGCTAGGTACCGGGAAAGGTAAGTCACATGACACAAACATGACCTCTTTTGATTGATTTTTTATAGCCAGAGTATTCCCCGACAATTGAGAAGGATTTGAAGCAAAATTGTGATAAATTAATTAGTTTGAATATGTTTTTAGTCCAAATATATCATCAAATCACCCAGTTTGTACCCGGGAATGTATCTTTAAGTTTCATCAAAATTGGATAAAAATTGTGACCTCTAAGAGGGTCCACAAACTTTTCTTCTATTTGTGTTTAACATCCGCTTCCACCGATAGTGATATCGCTTAGAAGTTGTCTTATTATTTGAACATTTAACGATTCTCAAAACATTAGTTTTATTATAGTTTATTGCCGTCGGCTAATTTCCAATTGCTGTATAGTGTATTTATTATCTATTTTTATGATCATATTTTTCGATATTTGAAGTTTTTGGCGATATTCGATAAACCACTATATCGATCATTTTTGGCCACATGATATCGTAGTTGGGTCTGAAAATACCATATTGCGATAAATGACTATATCGAGAATATCGTACAGCCCTAATCTGACCAGTTTGGGTCATTTGAGCATATGCATATTACTTCGTCCTCAGAAAGGACCACATGATCAATTCCTCATTTCTGATTTGTCATTCTAATATTTGATACATATTTTTAACATGTTAAATACATTCACTTAAAATTTGGAAGTGATTTCTGCCACTCACTTCACTGCAAAATTCAGTTGTTGCTTTTAGCATGTTTCTTATATATTATCAATATATGATCAATTCCTCATTTCTGATTTGTCATTCTAATATTTGATACATATTTTTAACATGTTAAATACATTCACTTAAAATTTGGAAGTGATTTCTGCCACTCACTTCACTGCAAAATTCAGTTGTTGCTTTTAGCATGTTTCTTATATATTATCTTGTAATTTTGGAAGGTCTTACTTTCTCCTCTATTAGATTGGATGCAATGATTTAATGATCAAACTTACTAGTTCTTCTCCAGGTTTCTTTCTAATGGTTGCTAGTTCTAGTGATGCTGGTTGTACTACTAATGGATCTTTAGATGACATGACTAAACCATCACATATATCAGCTAATATACCACACTATATAATTATACATACGTTAAATAATATATATCTGTGGTTTAATATCGGGCATTTATGTGAATGTTTCAAAAATAGTGGTTTAATGGAAAATATATCACATAAATATTAATGCTCATCAAAATTTGGTAACAGAAATAACCAGCGGCTGCCAGGCAGGATACGCCCACATTTTCAAAGAGATGGATAAAGATCAAGCTACAAACAAACTCGATTTTTTGTACAATCAGGGACAATGATCCAGAAAGTTATGGCCTGAAATGTGCAAATATCAAAAGGGACTGAAATCTTTGGGATATCAAGATATGTTTTAAGTTTCATCAAAATCGGATAAAAATTGTGACCTCTAGAGGGTCAACAACCTTCGTATTACACACTTCTACACAATTTGCGTACAAAGAGCGGCCATTTTGTCGGGCAGTTTCATTTTGATTTTCCCGAAATTTCAAATTCAGTCTTCATTATGGTGGAATGGTGATGTATTTAAACGGTTTTTAAAATCGGAAAAAAATTGTGACCTCTAGAGAATCTGCAAGCTAAAAATGCGATTTTTCGAACAATCATGGGCCATAATCCAGGAAGTTAAGTTCAGGTATCCGAGATTATCAAAAGGAACTAAGATCTTAGTGTGTAATGGTGATATATTCACACGTTTTTTTAAATCGTATAAAATTAAAAATTGTCACCTCTACAGGGACCACAAGCTAAAAACATGATTTTTTGTTCAATCAAGGGCAATAATTCATGAAGTTACGATCTAATATGCTCGCATATAGAGAGAAACCAATATATTTGGGTTATAAACATGTATTTCAAGTTTCATCAAAATCAGATCAAAATTGTGACCTCTAGAGGGTCCACAACCTTGATTTACCAGATGTTTACACTATTTGCGTACGAGGGGTGTCCATTTTGTCTGGCAGTTTTGTGCTTTAAGTACTGGATTTATTTTTGGTATACTACTTCTTAAGGACTATAACTTTCGATAGCAGAAATTGGAGTTTTAAAATTTTTAGAATTTTTTGTGATATAGACAGTTTTAGTTTTAAATGTCATTTTAAGTGAACACTAATTATGATCACCTACACAAAACAACAACTTTTATCCCTGAACTGTAATCAAATCCTCAGTAAGACTGAATTGTTTAGTGAGTTCCCTGAGTTAAAACCTAACCAAAGTTTATATCTCACACCAAGAGTAAGAATCACCTATAAAACTAAAAGACAGAGAAACAATAGAGGAGTTAACCTGACCAATTTGACAGAAGTGAAATTTCAGTCATCTCAAAATGTTAAATGCGACAATATAAATATGAAAAACCTGATTTATGTTGAAAGGCAGAAGACAAATAATTCATTCAAATGTGAAAATAAATTCCAAGTAAGTCTATTTAATGCAAGGTCAGTTAGGAATAAATCTCAGGAACTTAACCAATATGTTTGTGACAACAATTTGGACATTTTTGCTATAACAGAAACATGGTTATCAGCAAATGCAGACACTGCTTCAATCACCGATCTTGTACCAAATGGATATTCCATCTTTCATCAGCCAAGACCAACACGCGGAGGAGGGGTTGCTCTGATTTTCAAGTCCAGTCCTGGTGTTACAGTTCAGAAACCGATTAAGTTTACAACTTTTGAATATCTTCACACAATAATATCTGTTATGAACGAAAGATTATCTGTTATTGTCATTTATCGTCCACCTAGCAGAGATGCTGAAACTGTCTCGAACTTTTTTAGTGAATTTCCCAGTGTTTTAGACAAACTTGCTTGTTCGGGCAATAGACTTCTACTTCTTGGAGATTTTAATTTTCACCTGCAGGATCTTACCGATACAAACGCTGTTCGATTTAATGACTTACTTAGAGCATATTCCCTTTGTCAGCATGTTTCAGTTCCCACACATAATCGTGGTAATATTTTGGATTTAGTTATATCTAGAGACTGTGAAAATCTTATTCATAACGTAAGTGTTTCGAATAATCTCATCTCTGATCATTTTCCAGTTAATTTTAATCTGAGTATTCGGAAGCCTCCACTTCAAACTAAAACACTCACTTTTAGAAACTTCAAGAAACTTGATAAAGGGTGTTTTATTAATGAACTTCAGAATGCTAATTATTTCTCAATTTCTCAACTCGAAGATGTCAATGAAAAAGCCAGTGCTTATAATAGTATAATAGTAGATGTTCTTGATCAAATTCTACCACTCAAGTCCAAAACTATTACTATCCGACCAAATAATGCTTGGTTTACTGATGAGTTACTTGAACTAAAAAAGTCGAAAACTAAGGCGGAGAAAATTTGGTATAAGACCAAACTTCATGTTCATAAGGAAATCTTTAAATCTAAGACGAATGGACTCAACTATAAAATAAAAGAGTGCAAGAAATCATATTTTTCTAATAGAATTGAAAACAGTAAAAATAAGCAACGTGAATTATTTAAAATATCAAAATCTCTTCTTGATCATACACATGGTCAAACAATTCTACCAGAATCTGATAATCAATTTGAACTTGCATGTAAATTTTCAAACTATTTTTCAGAGAAAATTCAAAGAATCCGCTCGGAATTAAAACCAACGCTATTAGCAGGCGGTGAAAATCACAATTGCGATTCTCAAATCCCTCCGACTTTGTGCAGGTTTCAGACTGTCAGTGAGAATGATATTAAAAAATTAGTGAAAGAATCTTCTAAAACCACTTGTTCCTTGGACCCAATTCCATCCAAATTCATAGTGGATAATCTTAATGTGTTTTCTCCGGTTATTACCGATATCATCAATTCTGCTATAAGTGAAAATTGTGTCCCTGATGTATTTAAGCATGCCATTGTTTTTCCTTTAATCAAAAAGCCCAGTCTTGACATAAATCTTAAAAGAAACTACAGACCAGTATCTAATTTAAGTTTTATATCGAAGCTTTTAGAACGTTGTATTTCAAAACAGTTAGTGTCCCATATAATAGCTTTATTCAACGTCCGCTTCCACCGAAGTGACAAGAGCATTGCAGTTAGGCAAATGAAATTTAAATGTTACTCACGCACATCATTCTGCGGGAGTAAATACATGTACTCGCCTCACTCGCGCAAGTCTATATTTACGTGAGTAGTCATCTACTCGCCTCCAATTTGCTCGTGGCAAGCCCTGAATTCGTGTGTGTAAAACTGTTATATCCCAATCACTAACTGCAAGAAACATAGGAGCCATCTTTGACTCACATTTTACAATGGAAAATCATGTTAATAATATTTGTAAGAATGGCTATTATAATCTGCGCAATATCAGCAGAATACGTAAATATTTATCTGTTGATGCTACTAGAACTTTAATTCAATCTCTTGAAATTTCACGTCTTGATTGTTTGAACTCCTTGTTAACTGGTCTACCGGATAAGCTACTTTCAAAACTACAAAAACTGCAAAATTCTGCAGCACGTCTGGTTACTGGTGTGGGTTATCATGAGCACATAACTCCAATTCTTTACACCCTTCATTGGCTTCCTGTATCATTCAGAATTGATTTTAAAATATTGTTAATTACATACAAATGTCTCAATGGTTTCGCACCCCCATACTTATCTGAATTGATACAAATCCGCACTTCGGTGAGAAACACAAGATCCTCTAGTGACGATTTACTTTACAGTTAGTACAACCTCGAGCCAGACTAGCATCCTATGGCGAGAGGGCCTTTTCATTTTATGCACCGTTAATTTGGAATAAATTACCTTATCTTATTCGGAAATCACCTTCCATCATTACATTCAAATCGCACTTGAAAACTCATTTATTCAAACAGGCTTTTTACTGATTTTACACATTTGACTGTTTTATGGGTAGTTTTAAAAAATTTATGTCATTTTTACATTGTCTCTCTCTTCTTACTTTTAGGAACTGTTTTTTTTTTTAGGAACTTCTTTTTTATTATAAATTGAATTTTTAGGAACTTCTTTTTATTATAAATTGTATTTTACTTTTTTATTGTTAAGCGCATCTGAACACTTTGGTGAAAGATGCGCTATATAAATGAATTAAATAAAAATAATAATAATAATAATAATAATAATTATAATAATAATAATAATATAGGGTCCACAAGCTAAAAATGTGATTTTTCGTACAATCAGGGGCCATAATTCATGAAGTTATGGTCCGATATGTGCAAATATCAAAAGGAACCGATGTCTGTAGGTTATAAACATACATTTCAAGTTTAAAAGAAATAGGATAAAAATTGCGACCTCTACAGTGTTCACAAGCTAAAAACATGATTTTTCGTACAATCAGGGGCCATAATCAATGAAGTTACAGTTCGATATATGCCAATATCGAAAGGAATCGAGATCTTAAAATGATAAACCTATATTTCAAGTTTCATTGAAATCAGATAAAAATTGTGACCTGTAGGGTGTTCACTAACGTCCGGCCAGGGGGCGACGACAATCTACCTCCACATGAACATGTGGGCGTATAAAAATACTAAAATTGTAACATAGCTCTTCTCTCTTTACAGTTTTGATATTAAGTGCAATCATATTCCTCAAAAGCCAAAATTTTTAAAATTTCAGTGTTTCAAAGAAAAAAACATTCAGTACATCAGAAAAAAAAATAAGTACACATACATCTTTCATAATTTGATCTTCTGCATCATGCATTTGTGTGTCTCTTTGTGATACAGTGACTAAACCAATACCAAACTTTAATATCGTATTCCTCAATAAACATAAATCATAAATTCCTTCAAATGGGGCCCTGATAAAAAAAAAAGATAGGTTGCCAGGTAACAAAACATACACCCACAGCAGCTAAATCGTCCGAGCAGTCGACAAGGGTTGTCACATATTTATTCTTTTGTAATTAGTGGAATTTAATAGACAATTTCATACAGATTACATTATAATTTTCGTCGTTTGAGGGTTCACAAGGTTCTTAAAAACTAAAACAAGGGCCGTAACTCTGGAAGTATTCTACAGAAATTGTTGAAATTCGACAGGCTTTTTCGTTTTACTAATTCAAATAATGCATATAAATTTCATACAGATCGGATGATAACTTTTGTCGTTCGAGCATTCACAAAGTTCAGCAAAGTAAATCAAGGGCCATACTCTAGACGTAATTGCTGGAAATTGCTGAAATTCAATAGGCTTCTTCATTTCACTAATTTAAATGATGCATATGAATTTCATACAGATTAGGTGATAACTTTTGTCGTTCAAGTGTTCACAAGATTTAACAAAGTTAAACAAGGGCCATAACTCTAGATGCAATTAACGGGCCATAACTCTAGACGTAATTGCCGGAAATTGCTGACATTCAATAGGCTTCTTCATTTCTCTAATTTAAATGATGCATATGAATTTCATACAGATTAGGTGATAACTTTTGTCTTTCAAGCGTTCACAAGATTCAACAAATTTAAACAAGGGCCATAACTCTAGATGTAATTAACGGAAGTTTGCTGAAACTCTATAGGCTTGTTCGTTTTACTAATTTAAACGATACATATAAATTTCATACAGATGGGATAATAACTTTTGTCGTTAGAGCAATTACATGGTACAACAAAGTCAATTTCAAACAAATCGGATGATAACTGTTGTCATTAGAGTGTTCACAAGATTCAACAAAGTGAAACAAGGGCCATAACTCTAAATGTAATTAACGGAAATTGCTGAAATTCAATAGGCTTCTTTGTTTTACTAATTTAAATGATGCATATAAATTTCATACAGATCGGATAATAACTTTTGTCGTTAGAGTGTTCACAAGGTGCAATTCAATAGGCTTCTTTGTTTTACTAATTTAAATGATGCATATAAATTTCATACAGATCGGTTAATAACTTTTGTCGTTAGAGCATTCACAAGGTACAACAAAGTGAAACAAGGGCCATAACTCTAGAAGAAATTAATGGAAATTGCTGAAATTTGCTGAAATTCAATAGGCTTCTTCATTTCACTAATTTAAATGATGAATATCAATTTCAAACTGATCGGATGATAACTGTTGTCATTAGAGTGTTCACAAGATTCAACAAAGTGAAACAAGGGCCATAAGTCTAGATTAATTAACGGAAATTGCTGAAATTCAAAAGGCTTCTTTGTTTTACTAATTTAAATGATGCATATAAATTTCATACAGATCGGTTGATAACTTTTGTCGTTAGAGCGTTCACAAGGTGCAACAAAGTGAAACAAGGGCCATAACTCCAGAAGAAATTAATTAAATAGGATTCTTCATCTCACTAATGCAAACAATATATATCAATTTCAAAACAATCAGATGATAAATTAAATGTAGTCTGTAGAGTGTTCAAAAGAAATTGTGGACGATGGATGGACGGACGGGGCGACGGCAATATACGTCTACATTTCCATGTGGGCGTATAAAAATGAATATAATACAGATTATTGTTTGTTCATTCACTATCTGGAAGTAAAAATAGAACAATGACATATGAAACAAGTCAACAGTGAGACAGACATTTCCCGCTTCCATCCCAAAATAAATAGTTGACATTCATCAATTACTTGGACATTTATCTTTTTATAAAGCATCCATCAATCATATTCTGTACCACACTGATGACCTGAGCAGAAAATGCTCATTACTGAACTTATTCATGTTATTTGATGTGATGAAAATATTATCACTCTCACTCAATTAGAATCAAAGTTATATGTCCCAAAGACTTGATCAATCAAATTGCTAATCACTGCTTAACCTAAGCAGAAAATGGTCACCAGTGCACAGTCAAGACATTCATGTAAAGAACATCTACACCAAGTTTGAACATTCTACCTCAATCAAAGGCAGTGTTGATGTGTTCGACAAAGTTAGCATTATTTTAGAAATACTTGAAACCAATTTTGATAAAATTTTCAGAATAAGCACCAAATGATTTACTTAATCACTTAGCATCAACATTTTTCCCGATTTCAAAGATTTACACATCTTTATAAATCTCCTTGATCTTTGGGGTATATTCTATGCCCGGAATAACTTGATTGAAGTCTGAAAGTCGGGGGGCGGCTTTGGATATATACAGGGGAATTTGGGGTTAGTCTTCTGGAAGTTTTTCTTTAAACCTGTAACAGGTTATTCTTCCAGGGTAGGGGGTTTTTTTTCCGTAAGAAAACATGATCTAAGGTTTTTCTTATGGGAATTCTGGGATATTTTCATTTTGCGTACATGTAAACATAGACGGTTTATAAGCAAGATAAATAAAGTCCTCGACTTCGGTTAAGCTGGGGAAGAAAGACTTGAGAAAAAAACACTCAAAAAAAAAACGTCGGTCCGCCGGCCTCAGTTTTTCTTTTTCTGTGGTTATTTTCTGCAGTCTTTCTTTCCCCAGCATAACCTCAGTCTCGTGCACTTAAAAACTTCAATTTTGTGACGTGACTTTAAAAAATATAAAGATACTGAAAATTGTAGGGACGAGATAGATTTTAAAGATTGACTTACGTTTGCAAAAAAGTCGCACTTACAGTGAATTTTAACTCTTAGAACCAAAAATGCTGTAAAACCGGCTACGACATTGTAGTGCATAGTCTTAAAATGTCGGTCTTGCAGCTTGTGGGCGTGTCTTCTGACACCCTTCCTTAACAATAAGAAAAATAGCCAATAACTTTGGGTCTTTTGTAATAGTGACTAGCTCTTATAATGAACTATAATGGCTAAGATATTGATGGGTTGAATTACAGCAATGAAAGTGATTTTGAAAGAGAATATGACCCAGATTCAGACGAAAATAACAGCGATGATAACACTTGTACTCATCATAAGCAAGTTGTAATTATTGTCGATCTACATGGCCTGTGATAGTAATACTGGAATAGGGTGTGGTCGCGATATTAGTTCAAAACTGTTGCCATGATTGGCACTCAAAGGTAATGTATTGGAGATGAAATTAAATAAAAGTTCAAATTTCCGGTTAAATAACAATGTTTCATAATTTCACACAACTATAAATACATCTAATATCAAATTCACACCTAACATTTAGTTCCAATTAGAATGACGTCATTTTTCCAAACTTGATCGAGATTACTCTAAAAAGTTGATAGACGACAGCTATTGACAAATATTTTTAAACAAGCCAACAGTGAGGCTGATGTCCCTCGCCGAAATAAATAGATGACACATATTAATTAATCGCACATTTATTTTTTTCAAAAGTATCGAGCAATCAAACTATACAGATAGAATCAAGATTATCTTGTCCCAAAGCATCGACCAATAAAATTTATAAGCTCTGCTTGTTTTTCCTGTTCGTTGTATATATATTGTATTATGCTAATACGCAGTATTTAATAGTGTTGAAAATCGGATCGAAATTTGTGATCCGAATACTTTTGTTGGCTATCCGAATACTATTCGGATAATTCGGAGACGTGAAATTCTTGAACACAATTACATCAAAAGTTCATATACCGGTACTCATAATTTCTTACTTGTTTCAATGTTTATGAGTGTCTGTATGCCGAGTATGAAATCGTACTTTCGATTTGCAAATTGTTTGAGCCGCGAAGAAAAAAACGTGCCTACCTTTAGCCGTAATTATTAAGACTATCTATGACATCGGTCTGACATCCCAAAAAATCAATGAGGTGAAGGAATTTGTATAGTATAACTACTCCTGTTATCCGCACCCTCCCACTTATCATTTTGCTCAATCAACACGAATGAAAAAAGTAAAATAAAACCATGTGCCATTTATTTCGGCAAGGTCGTTTGCCTCATTCTGATAATCTACTACTATTGAACCAATCAGTGAGTGGGAATATACGTGACCTAGGTCGTTATGAATAAATTTCATTGTGGGAAGTCAAAACACGGTCTAAACTCGTATGGCGTAAACTAGCGCAGGGAATGAATGAATATTTTTTTTATTTAGACTACTGTTTTCGTTGCACTACATTAATAATTTTATTAGTTACTATCACTAAATAATATGCATAATGTTGACATTTATGCTCATGGAGCTGCGTACGTGATCAATTGCATTGGGGAAAATTTCAAAGTGATCAGACGTAAAAATGGCTAAATATAGAGCATACGGAATGTCAGAATATATTGTAACGAATAGTAAACGGATAGTAAAATGATTCGGATAACCCCTAATTTGTATCCGTTAACGAATATCCGAATAGTAGTTTCAACACTAGTATTTAATAAAATTTATTATTATGTTTATAGGTTTATTCGTTTTCATGTATGTTCTATATTTAAAGGGGAAGACCAACGATTTTCAATAAGGTTTCCATAAATAATAAATATATATTTAGAAATAATCCCTCCTATAACATATGCAAAAAATAATTTGCAAGCGAGAAATTAATTTTTATTAATACCGGAAGTGACGTAGTTGGTTCGACACGCTCACTGGTCACTATAGTAAACATACAAATTTGGAGCAAGTTTAGCCCTGTATTTTGTGATCGTTTCGCCGTTTGGCAGAAAATCTGATGAAAGGTAATCTTTATTAGGATATTAAGAACAAGAACTTACGGTGTTTTGAAGGTATAATATACAACGCGTTTGTGTAAATTAAGTTTCTAAACTGGACACTGTGACACAATTTAAGCCACATGGCTAATTGTTTACATCACGTGATAGCTGGCGCGTGACAGATATTAACCGAACACAAATTGGCAACCTATTCGGCTAGCGACCTATTCGACCGATCCAGCTGACAACCTGTTCGTTGGCAACCTATTCAGAATGAGAGCGCACCCCTTTAATATGATTGTGCCAACTTTTACTAATAATATTTCGAAAGCTTATTTAATCAGCTTTCGGAATATATTTAGTTGGATGTCCAGAACAGGTTGCCAGCTGGATCGGTCGAATAGGTCGCTAGCCGAATAGGTCGCCAATTTGTGTTCGGTTAATATCTGTCACGTGCCAGCTATCACGTGATGTAAACAATTAGCCACGTGGCTTAAATTGTGTCACAGTGTCCAGTTTAGAAATCGTTGGTCTTCCCCTTTAAGTGTCTGTGTGATAGAGTCTACTTAACAACGAATGTGTAGATCACGTGAGACGCATTACTACTGGAACGTGAGTGTTTTTCACACACACATGAGCGTTAACAATTAAGCCGTTGAGGCCAAGTTTTTAACTTGGACCCTCTGTTTACGTTTTATATAGTCAAGTTTGACTTTCTCCAGTTTTTATCGATCCATTTTTAATGATCGATAGTTATCACCCCATCAATAAACACCTACACCAAATTTGAACATTCTAGCTCAATTAGAAAGAGAGTTATTGTGTTCTAAAGTCTCAACCCTACTCCTTGTCAAGTACAACCGGGGAAACGAAACCACACCAATTGACTCAATGACAGACCTTATGATACAGCGCGCACATGCTAACCATTCGGCCATCCCCCCCCCCTCATTTTCAAAAGGAAGATAATTAGAAAGTTTTTGTTGCTATTTTTGGCTTAATCCATCCATTTGTAACAGATTCTGAAAGATTCAATCAAAATCTTAAAAAATAAAAAAAGTTATGCTCAGAATTTTAAAAGTTGTTAATTTTAAGCTTAAAATTAGGTCATACACATGTGTGCTAGAGACCACATTCTATTGGACAAAAACTTGTGAATTCCGAACACCTTCCAATTGGTGAAAATCGCATTTAAATTCATTAAAAAATAACAAAGTTTCCTTTCATGCCTAATATTGGTCTATGATGTCTCTTGCTGATAACATTTTTAAAGTTTTGGATATTCATTAATAGTAAAATTGTAAATAATAATAATAATCTTTATATAATTATAAACAATAGTTTTATACTACTAATAATTTATGTAACCTATTAATTTACAATTACATACCTATCAAGCCATGAGACTAAGACTTTCAAAGTTGTTAATAAATCTGCTATACCAGATAGAACTGATATTGATAGGCGTTTAGGATTACACGAAGATTGATAAACATTAGCTTTATTAATGTCATTTTCACCAGAATGGGCCTGTACTTCATTATGCAGACTGCGTGCTTTACATCCTAACTGAAGAGCCAAGTGTTGTAAATTCTCTGTTTCATGTCCGTATCTCTGAAGTGAAAAAGCAAAATAAAAATAACCATGGATAGTCCGAGGGCAGAACTTTCTTAGCACTTCATACAGAACTCAATGTTTGTCGCAAGTTACTATTTGACCCACATGCTCTGTGTTCTTGATTTATTGCCATTTCATGCTGTTACACTTTTTGTACTGTTTTGAGAGAAATTATCTGTCTGTTTTACATTGTGCTGTTTTGAGAGACTTGATCTCTCTGTTGTAATCCAAGTTTAGGATTACTGTGGATCATTACCATGTTGGATTATACCGATTCAAGGAATATTAATCCTGTCAGTTTTGGATCTTCAAGATCCTGTATAATTCTGCCAACTTCGGACATACTAGGGCAACGCCGAGAAGACAACTGTAACGGACTGTCTACAAACTACTACTTCAAAGCAGTAGAAGCACCGAGAGTAAAGAAGGCCTCAACTGAATACGGGTAAAATTGGTCTGAATACTGTAGGTAATCCTGTACATTGATTCTGATCAACGTTGTTATACTCGTAATTATACTCATTTGTCCCAATATCATTTTATCATTTGTATATACTATTAAATCATTTGCTGTGTAGATTTGTCTGATCAAGGTATTGGGTGGATCATGAATCTGTAAACTACAATCGATAATCAGAGATTGTAACATTATGCTTTTTTGACTCATATTCGTCTGTATTAATTAATGTTCCAATCCAAAGAATAGAGCTATACACCCTTTAATAAACGAAACCTGCTTGATAACTTGAGAAAGTGTTATTGCACATACCAATGTTCTTAGAAGATCAACAGCTTCCAATATAAGTTCTTGATGACCAAGTTTAATCACTTGTAATTTTTCTAGATCAGAGTGTGTCAACATTAATAATCTTCTTCCATCAATTTCATTGTTCATAAAATGTTCTACATATGGTACAATGGTATCATCTAGACCTAGATAATGAAAATAGTTAGAAATCAAATAGTTAAAGATAGGTTGCCGGGCAGCGAAACATACGCCCGCAGCAGTTAAATCGTGCGGGCAGTCAGCAAGTTTTTACTTTTGTTGGTAATGAAACATTTATAATACACTAAAATCTGATTTAGAGTAACAACTCATGGAGTAATTATCAGAAAAACATTAAAGATAGGTTCCCAGAAAAGTATTTATCGGGTGGTTATTTCCAATAAAAGTATGGCAATTTTGGTATATATGGAAAGTAGAGATATCCAATCTTACTAGAAAAATACTGGATTCCCTGAAAAACACTCATGTAAGGCCAAGGGTTCCCCTAATCGACAGCCCGTCGAATAGGAATACCTGGACGTGTGACATCGAAGGTTGCACGCGAAGATTGAGCGCTTGGTGTACATGTTGATAAACTTTATGAAGAGTTAGACGTACAACACTTTCTGAGATAAAAATCACAAAAAAAGACACGGGCAGTGGATAATCCGAGAATTTAATTAGGATTCGATATTTGTAATAAATAGTCAGCGATTAAAGACAACATCATCTTGTGTATACAATGAATTCTCCTCCGACTTCGCCCCCGTTGCTATAGGTACCGAGAGAGGTAAGTCAAGTGACAATCGGATATTAATTTTTTAGCCTTGAGAGCGGTCCACAATGTTTGTCAATGAGATCAAGGGCCATAACTCTGTGGGCGTATAAAAAATTAAAAATTTGAGGGGTGAAAGTGCAATAAGGCTCCGATTATGTTGATCTTCTGGTATTGGATTAGTCTTTACAACTTCACTAAGTGAATATCACTAAGCCAGGGACAGGATCATTACTGTGAACGGGTGCCAGTTAACTCGTCCACACGCAAACTCTTCCACGGTTAAGTCATCCACAACCATTGTTTATGTTGTCCACAACTAATGGTTGACTCGTACTGTGCTAGGGCTGCAACGATTCATCGATGAACCGCAATGTTTTAAAAATCTACGATGCACGATAAATCAATGGCCGTATCGTAATTCGTTATCCAAATAATAAATAAGTCCATGTGCAAAATAACTTTTTTACTTTCAGCTAGTGTCAAGAAGTTTATGACACATGAAGTGGCTTATTACACCTATTTCGTCAGGATTAAAATATCTGTCTGGTTAAGCAAGTCGTGCTGGAAATTAAGTTGGGTTCAAATTACACACTTGAATAATATACAGAAAAAAAACAACATATTAATATACTATTCAAAAAAAGTAGGGGATATTTGATTTTTAAGTGTTATTAAAGTCACCTAATGAAACTGACGAAGAAACAAATGACAAAATGAAATGAAGTTCACATTCATCGATTTATTCCAAATGATCGTTAGACTAAGTAAGGCACAGACTGACCATTATAAGGGTAAAATGATACCCGGGGTCAAACAGCAAAGTTACCACAGCATCACAACCAAGTCAGTAACGGGTAAATCCTCCTCTGTTTGCCAAACAAGCATTGATCCGACGTGGCATACTCCTAATGAGACGTCTAAGGTCATTTTGGTCCAGATTGTCCCATTCCTGTTGCAACGCAGCAGCAAGTTCTTGGACATTGGCAGGACGTTGTTGACATTGACGTAACCTCTGTCCAAGCATGTCCCAGACATGCTCGATGGGGGAGAGGTCGGGACTCAGTGCTGGCCAAGGTAATGTGGTGATGTTCTGTTGTTGGAGGTAACCTGTAACGATCCTGGCCCTGTGACATCTTGCGTTGTCATCCTGGAAGATGAAACGGCGGCCATGACGTCGTGCGAACGACACAACATGGACTGCCAAGATGTTGTCCCGGTAGTACTGGCCTGTAACACGCCCTGCAACAACATGTAAAGCCGTTCTTCCAGCAACAGTGATGCCTCCCCACACCATAACAGAACCACCCCCAAATCGATCATGTCTGATGACGTTAACGTCTTGGAAGCGCTCGTTTCGACGACGCCACACCCTCCTACGTCTGTCCAAAAAATCAACAGTGAACCTTGACTCATCTGAAAACATCACATTGCTCCAGCGTCGATTATCCCAGTGTTGACGATCCCTACACCAACGACGTCTTGTCTGAATGTGATGATCTCTCAAACAAGGGATCACGCGAGGACGTCGGGCGCGAAGGTGACCCCTATGCAGTCGATTCCGAATCGTCTGGCCACTCACTCTCACACCAGTGTCTGTTTGAAGACGAGCGCTGATCTGATTTGCTGTGATGACACGATTTCTCAAGGCCAAGGTACGGATAAATCGATCCTGGGCTTGAGTTGTCGCCCTTGGTCGACCTGAGCGTGGTCTGTCCTGTACAGATTGTGTATCACGGTATCTGGACCATAGCCTGCTTATGACAGACTGAGAAACATTCATCGTCCGCGCCACAACCGCCTGTGTTGTGCCGATCTGTAGCATGCCAAGGGCACGTAACCTTTCATTTTGGGTAAGCCGACGCATATCAAAATTTGTTTTCTGGTCACTAAAACAATTAAACTGATGTTTCCACCCTGGAATTCAATGCCACAATGACTGTAACATTCAAAGTCAGAGTCGTGCAAATCTTGGGTTGGACCCCCATGATGATCCCAAGCATCACCTGCATTCCATGCGGTAGCTATTGGTGCGTTTGGGCGTCACATGTAACTGGAAATGTTTCTTCTGTTAGGTTCTATAGTGACTTTTTTCGTAGTCATTTGCATATTTTAGTATTATGCCCCCAAAATCAAATATCCCCTACTTTTTTTGAATAGTATATCTAAGCAGCAAAAGAAACGTCAGGTTGGTATGTTACTCTGAATAGACACATTGCATAAAACTTGCCAAATGTTTCTATTGTATATTTGTGACCACATCTCCAACTTTACCTCAGCAATAAGACTCCTTCCCAAACACAGAATTGAACCCAGGAAATGTTCTCAAAAAAGCAACCTGATTTCTGAGATGGTAATGTGTTCTCCATGATTTTCAGGTAACTCATGCTGCATGTGCTGTTCACTGGGACCAGCCCTATAAAATGCATCCCCATGCCTGGTTGAAACATTCACACTACAACGTCAGCTGCATGCCACGAGTCACGACAGCTCAGAGGAACCAGGCGCTTGGAAGACTCGATGCAGGCCACACTGAACAAGCCACTGCCAATCACTTCCAGGTCAATGTTCGGAACATCTACAGGCTTCAGCAACACTTTCAGGCCACCAACACCACGGATGATCGCCCCCAAACTGGTAGACCAAGGGTTTCCACAAGACCGCCATGTTGTGCGACAGCAGCACATGCACAGGCATCTGAGACAGCACGTCAGACAGTGGGAACACACGAAAGACCCATCAGTACCGATACAGTGTGTTGACGTCGCACCAGAGAGAACATCCATTGCCGTAGACCTTACTGTGGACTGATCCTCACCCCTCACCATCAACGTGAACGTCTTAGTCTACAGTTTGCCCACCAACACCAGAACTGGTGACACAGGCAATAGAGAACTGTTCTGTTCACAGATGAAAGTCGGTATTGCGTATCAACTGCAGATGGCAGGACCAGAATATGGCGTCGACGTGGCCAGCATTATTCTGACCAATGTGTCGTGGAATGAGACTAATGGGGAGGTCCAGAGAGTAGTTCCTGTGGTGTTCCAAAATCTTGGTCAAGGGAGAGGAGGCAGCATCACAGCAGTGCGCTACATCGATCAAGCTTTCAGACCCCACGTCATACCACATTTCGCACGTCATCGAAAGGTTTTCCAGCATGACAACGCCCGTGCCCACACCACCAGAGTTACTTGGGACTTTCTACAGCAGAACGGTGTCAACGTTATGCACTGGCCAGCCCTTAGGCTTAGTCCTGACTTAAAACCCGATTGAACATCTTTGGGATGAAATTCAGAGGAGATTTAAGATACATTAGGTAAGAGTTTTGTAAAGAGTTGGCCATTCTTGCTATAATAATTCAAAAATAGATGATAAAAAAAGAAAATGTTGAAAATTTCAGTCAAATTACTTTGATCTGAACAGAATTGTCACTGTTGGAAGTTTGGACTAGAAATAGGCATCAATTGTGTCTGCACCGTCTATGAGAATTGGCGATCGTTTGACAGACGATAACTCCACCCACATATTCTCAATTATCAAGTAACAAGCTCTATGGCTATGGTAGCCTCGCTTGGCAGGCCTTTCATCACCAGTTTCCGGTAGTGACATCAGTGACTAATGGTAAATGTTAGCTTGGTCCGCCATTTATTGATTTAATTTTTAAATGGACGACTGTTTAAATCCAAATGGATATCCAAGCGATCCAAGGGTCTACACAGTTGATTTTGAGCTTGTTGCGTAAATAAAAGTCTAATTAATAATTTCTATAACATCTGAAGCCTAAATAAAGACTTGCAATAGGCAGATTTAGCTCTTGCATAATGTATGTTTAATAACATTGTACCGAGATCAAATACAGCCGATGGATTGCGCCAGGCTTTTCTGAGAGTGTGGTTCCAGGTGCCAATGGTGTTCATCAATCAACTATTTATAATGCTTTTGAAGCTGTAATGTTTTATGTGCATATTTTGTATTTAGTGCGTTTGCTGATGGTGTTTGTCAGTCTGGTCAACTCCATGTACAGACGCTGCGCTGCTGTTACTGACATTCGCGGTGTACACACCAGATACTGATGTATAGACTGTGTACAGACTCTAAACCTTCTCGTAATGTCTTGGAATTGTGATGAATTAATCACTAAAGTGTCAACATACTGTTCACAAAAAATTGCTTTGATCCATTAAGTAAGTCGTTTACTAGAATGATTTGATTAAAGTGACTCTCCTGATTTTGAAATCGTACTGAGGTTTTTCTTATGCTGTTTAGTATATATATACGTCCATAATATGCGATTTGTGATAATATTACTGTATATAAGATAACAATGGTGATTTGTACATACCGGTACTACATACATTGATCAGTAGATTTTCAAAGTATATTAATATTTGA